ATGCCTGCTGCGGTTTCTACTTTCTGAAACATCATCGCTCTGACTTTGCCAGTCAACCAGCCAAGGAACATTCCCCTAAAATTTCAGCTTTTTGGCTTTTCTGGTTCCCGAGTTAATAATTTTCCAGCAGAAACTTTCATACGCCCTTATGAGAGTTTATACGGATGAAATCCGACGGTTTAATCAGCCATTTTGTTGAAATCTGAAAAGCTAGGGAGCGTCTTGGATCCTAAGAGTTCTGAATTCATTTTCAGCTTAAACCAAGTTTAATGAAATTGAATGAAAGTGTAAGTGTTGATCTACATGCTGTGGGATCAGGTGACATAATTAATGAGGCATTGGTTCCTGAGACGTATTGATAGAAAAAGTGCCAAGTACGGCTAGCAAGTAAAACACCTTGTTATTTTTTTCCTCCTCTTTCGTTCACTTTTTTACGATGGCGTAAATGATGTAATATGCTTAATAGTAGCGTGAAAGAAGAATAGAGATGAAAGGCTTGTGCAATGCAATCATCCGTCCTGCTACTGGTACAACAGGTACCATTGATATTCGCATTCAGCTACAATAGGCGCTTAATAGCAGCTGTTTATCAAACCGGTCAACGTTTCTGCGAATCAAACAAGCAGGTCCTATGAGTGATTGCTTTTGAGCGGGGTTAGGTATAAACTTAGTGTGTCCCACAGAAATTTTTACTTTAAAACAATGGAACGTACATCCTTAGCAAAAGTAAGTGCCACGGATATTGCTCAGAAAGGATTTAAGAAGCGTGAAGTATTTTTTTAGGTAAACTGTTAACAAGGCGCGGCTGGCGGCGATAAAAACTGTTCAAAAATGTGCGGAACATAAAATCGCTGAAATTTGACTTCGCATGAAAAGAATCTTTTTTGCAAATATAGACCCAGAGGGAAACGAGCCCCTCGTCCTAACGGTAATCACAGCATTACCGGTCCATCTGTCCTGAGAACAACCTATTAGCACTTCTGTTGTGTGCATTTACGTCATCTTAGGCTGCGAACGCCTTCTTCTGCAGCGACCTCATTTTCCTTGCCGACTTTTTGCGGATGTTCATGTTACAATCTCTGCTAACAACACTGAAGATCCGGAGCTGCTGTACTGCCTACTGCGGCTTTGGTCGTTCCCTTCCATCTTCGATCACTCATGACAATGTGCTGTTCTTCAGCTGTTAGGTGAAGGTTACAAGTTTAAATTCTGAAAAAGATACCTGAAACATTTTTTTTCTTTGGTGTTTTTCTTGGAACCGTTGTAGCTGTCGTTGTTGTGCTACTAGACGTCGTTGTAGCTGTCGTTGTTGCGCTAGTAGACACCGTTGTAGCGGTCGTTGTTGTTGTAATTTCGGGTTTTTTCTCAGGTAAGGGTCTCTGCTCTCCTCCTGGCATAGCTTCAGGTTCTTTTTCAGGCTTTTGCTCAGGTTTCTCTTCTGGTTTTTCCTCAGGTGTGCCTTCTTCAAAAAGCGTAATGTCTGGCGGCATTGTTGCTGAATGAGAAGCAGTCTGCGTGATAACTAAGAACAGCACCATTGCTAGTACCAGTATCATTTTGCACTTCACTCTTCTTGGCTCCACTTATGCCACAGAAATCTTTGATCAAAATTTGTGTCCTGAAGAGCTATAACATTGTCGAATTACAGCGAAACTGAACTGAATCACATGTAATTTTAAAAAAAGCGCAACGGGTTCAATTAGAAAATCCTTGCAGAACTTGACAGGAATACTTTGCTATTGGTATAGATTTTGTAAAATAGTAGTAACTAGAGGTACCCAGCCCAGGATCGAAAGGCTTTTCGCAGTTGCATTCGGCCTGTGGAAGCATATCATTGATATTATTGATATGGAATACCAGCACTATTTGCCCGGTAATCTTGAAACCTTTTAACAGTCTTTGCCAGTTTACCAGTTGTAAAGCACAGTGAGGACTTTCACTTCAACTTTACAAGAAGGATTGAGCCTAACTTGTAAGAAATTGAGTTGCTCCTTAGACTTCGTAACTGTGACTGCTTTGGTAGCTTCTTTAATTAAAACTAGGCATTCTAGGCATGTCTTATTTCCGCCCAGTTTTTCCACCAGCAGATTATTTTTTGAGACATAGCTTTCCTCCGAATAAGTATACTGAACTGGTTGTCTTCTGAAAAACATACTGAAAAGTACTGTGAAAGAGACCCTTGCACGCTCATGACAAATAGTTAAAGTCGAATGGCCTGAAGAAAGAAAACAGAATTGTGGAGTTGGAATTCAGCGAAGAAGCTTTTATTCGGTACTCATTTGTTTACACTTCTGTGCGGTTTCTATATTCTTCATTATATTCTCTCGAAGCCTTGAAAAAGTTGATGTTTTCAATTCGCTGGGACAGTTCGCTTGTGCCAGCAAAAACAAAATCAATAAGAAACTTTTTTCACAGCATATTTTATGAAAATTTTATAATAAAAGTCTTTTTTAAACTTTCATAACCTTACTTTCAGACTTTTAGCAGTAACACTGACCTGTTCCAAACAAAGCACGGAAGAGCAAGGCATTAACAGCTTTACCAGCGAGTAGTTGATATTGTCATCGGGCCAATGCTCGTGCTGCTTTCGGCTCTATAGGTTTTTTAGTGAAAAAAAAGCATAGAAAAAAGGAGATTTCAGTCTAATTCTTGTTTTAATTTTTGTGATTTTTGTGGATAAGTTAAAATTGCATTAATGAAACCGCTATTTTTGATTAACGATCAAAAACAGGAATTGGTAAAAGTGAAAAACAAACGACATTTTTTTTCCGAAGTCCTTTATCAGTGCACTTGAAAACGTTTTTCGGATACCGAAACAACTGAGTAATTTTGTATCAACGGTGAAACGCTTATTTTTGCAGAACGTGCTATATTTACCGCAAAAGGTCCCCATTTGTTGCAAAACCCGTTAAAAAAAAATTTGTAGTTAATGCGAAAAAAGTGTAGACTTCAAATCTAAGTGGAGCGGAAATGAACTTATAAACAATGCGAGAGAAGTATAGATTTAAATCTAAGGAGCAGTAAAGTGGATAAATAAGACACGTTGTTCCCAGTTTAACACAACACTCGAAAATCAGGGCAATTACTAAATCATCAGCGCGTCGTTTGCATAGAAAGCTTATACTTATTTGGGACAGTACAATCAGACTATTCACTTTTCAAGCAGTGATTGGATAGGGATGAAATTTCAGAAAAATGTCAACATGCGCGAAAAAAGGTAATGATGCCTCTTTACCGGAATAGTAGAATAAAGGAACTGGACCAAGTGTCATGTGTAAGAGGACATGTTAGGATGCAGTCTGTGTTTCATCCCTGAGCTATAAACATAGACTGCTCATCGCGATAGGAGCAGGAATCATCACTGCAGCCTTTTAAGCGTCATGTATTGAATAGTCATGTGAATGATTAGCAATACGGATATGCGAGAGAAGACAAAGAGAAAACAGAGAGAGTGGGAGAAGAGAGAAAAAAGATAAAGCTAACCTACGATGTGAACGATTATTATTTGTCAGTTATGAGCCAACATTTTTTTATGAGAATAATGTGTTGACTAAACGTTTGAATTATTCTGAATTATCAAAAAAGATGAGTTAGTCCAAGATCGTAGGGCTCGTCATAACTCGCTACAGTTGCAGTATCAACAATAAGTGACTCCCCCCCGCCTGTCCGATATCCACACACACACGTATGTTGAATTACCTCAAATTTTTAAAGAGAATAGAGAACACGCTCATTTGGTAGAAATATATAATGTCTTAGCATTTTTTAGTAAATTCAGGAATAAGACGACGGAGGAGGGTGAAGGCAGTCAGCGATTTTTCTGAAAGAACATTCGTCCCACATTCTTTGCTGCGCTGATGAGATCCATCACTCAAAACATAAACAAAATTTTATAAAACCTGCAATTGCATGAAGCACATTTTCTACCCATGTAAGTCCATGTGAGTTATACATTTTCTATCCATTTGAATGTACGTCAAGGGAACGGGCCATTTTGTTGTCTTTGCTATCAGATATATTCGAAATGGGGATTAAGAAAGGCTGAAGAGGACCTACAGTAATGAAGCAATAAAGGCCACTGTTAAGAAAGATTCTGGCGAAGTATGGAAAAAAAAAGAATGGGAAGGATGATAAAAAAAAAGGGGTAATGAAATCGGCCATCAGTTCGTTTGTAGGCAGTCCTCGAAAGAGGGAGCCAACAACAGCCTTGCCAGCCTCTAGTTGCTGCTGGCATTTGTTACCACTCGGACTACTTCTCAAGTGCCGCATCTTCTACTCACAATGAACACGAAGGGGGTTTTGACTTTTGTAATGCAGTTTTGGAAAGCTAGGGTTTGTGATGAAAAACCGTGAATAAGTTTAGGATCTTGGAATTTTATGGATAAGCATTAGCTTAGCTGGAATCATGAAATTTTGAAGATAGGCAGTAAAGATATGTTTTGAGGGCATACGATTATCACATATGCTTGAAATTTAGGCAGTAAAAAAACCACCTGCCTATGTTTCAATTTCTAGTTCTGGATCAACTTTCCTTGACAGTGCCTGTCTCATACGTTGAATGCGCTTTCTGGAGAAAAAATTTCATTAATTTGTGTTTTTAAAATCCGACCGCTTAAAGACTATTAGTGAATCCAAGTGAACTTTGTGTTTTGCGCATTACAGTTGTTTTCCGAGAATTCAGTCAGTGCACTTTATTTTACTGGAAACCAAATATATATAAAAATGGTTTTCAGCAAACTCGAAATTCTCATTATTCTTGAAGCTTTACAGAAAGTGAAATTCCAATATTCGGCGGGATAAAGCGGAGCAGATGTGCAAAGGAATCCCAACCTCTCAAAGAACACTGGAAATTTCGGCACACTACCGCTTCTGCCCTTACTGCTCCACCAATGGACAAATGCATTGAATCGCCGGCATGAGAAAGTTTCTCGCAACTTATGCTTAAACTATTTTCATTTCAGCATATAACTGAGCCAGAACGATAATCCATAATTTGTGGTATGATATTGTGCGTGGTATTCTATATGCTACTTGCCATTCTTATTGCACCAAAAGCTTCAAATTCAGCAGCAGCAGTAACAACAACAACGACGACAACAATAACAACAACAGCAAGGCCCACAACAACAACGACTAGCAGCAAAAACTTCTACAATAACTTAATCAACGAACTACTTGCCGACCACAACAGCTCGGGCATTTACTTATCGCTTGATAACAAAACTGGAATTGCATTTTACAATAATTTAATCAACGAACTGCTCAGCAACAGTAGCTCAGACATCGACTTGTTGCTTAGCAGTGATGATCCCGATGTGGTCGTTTCGCTTGAGACCAGTCACCCTCACGTCGAATTACAGCTGGACATAAGTGATCCTCACAACGAAATATTGTTGGATATTGACGGTCGTAACAGACTGGTGTTCAAGGCTGGTGATACAAACACCAATTTATTGCTAGGAAGCGATGCTCAAAACATTGATTTATGGTTCGGGAGAAACTGCAACGGCAAGAACAACAACAATAACAACAGTATGGAATACTACAACAACTTGATTGATGAGCTGATTAGGGGCAACGGTACTGATAACAGCTTGATCAACTTGCTAATACCTAAATACGGTGTTCCTTATACCACCTACTTAATGAGCGGGTTAAGTAATGCTAACGGTACTCACTACTACAGCAGCTTGATCAATGCTTTACTTAGTGAGAACGAGACGAATAACCGCAACAACATGACCAATTAATCGAAAGAAAGCAGAAATGGCTCAAACAACAGAAGCGGCTTCGGCTACAGTAATTTAATCAGTAACTGATTAGTGAAAATAGGAGCGGCTTTGAGTAGTATAAAAATTTAATCGATGAACTGCGTAGCAACTATTATAACTTATTATTATGCAGTTTTTATGCGTTTTTTGCAGCAACGCAATGCGAAAAACGCATATTGACGAGAGGTTGTCTGTGT